CTGCCCTTTGTTGTAGATCTTTGCTGTAGTTATAACCTTCACACGTACTGAAGTTCAGGTGGAGCTCTACAGAGTTTGGAGTTGTCCAGCTGCATCTGGCTTAGGTCTGGCTGCTCTGCTCAGCTCCTTCCCGCTGCGGACCTGGGCTAGGATTGGGTCTGGGGGTTCCCGGAACTTGGCAGAAATTCCTAGTTAGCGGGAGGGGTGGGGCAGGTAAGGTGGAGTGGTGGGGTCGGCCTGAGGGGGCGGGAGAGGGTCCGGCCCTCGCTGTGCCTGGCCTGGGACTGGTCCCGCCGGCGCAGGGTAGCAGGAAGCTCTCCACACACTCACCGGACCTGGGCTAGGACTGGGTCTGGGGGTTCCAGGAAGTAGGCAGAAATTCCTACTGGGCGGGAGGGGTGGGGACGTAAGGCGGAGTGGTCCGGGGCGGCCCGAGGGGGTGGCCCGAGGGGGCGGGAGAGGGTCCGGCCCATGCTGCGCCTGGGCTGGGACTGGTCCCGCCGGCGCAGGGTAGCAGGAAGCTCTCTATTTTATCCTTAATGTGCACCTTCTTCAAGCTTTCAAAAAGCCGGGTCGACAATCCTTGACTTTTAGGATATTCTATCGGTCAACAAATATCTGCTAGGCACTTCCTACTAGGCCTGATTTCTCTGTCAGGCACTGTTGTGATTTTAAAATAAATAAAGTCTATTTATTTTAAAATCAGTATATTTTAAATATTTGAGGCAGACTCTCTGTTTAATCTGTCCCTAGATTCAGGGCTTCATACATGCTAGGCAAGCACTTTGTCACTGAGCTATATTCCCAGGTCTGGTCCTTTGTTTTGTATTTTATTTTATTATTATTATTTTGGTGGTCCAGGGATCAAACTCAGGACCTTGTGCTTGCCAGGCAAGCACTTACTCCATTGAGGTATCCCCCACAACCACTCTTTTGTATTTTATTTCATTTAATTTAGGTACCAGGAATTGACCCCCGGGCTCTTACACTGAACTACAGCTAATCATTTCAAATTTTTTATTTTGAGATGTGGTCTCACGGAGTCACTAAGTTGTCCAAACTTGCAGTCTCCTGCCTGCTAAATATCTCCACTAAAGCACAGATCAATACTTTTCTTTTCTTTTTCTGTATATTTTAGGGAAGGGTCTACAGGGGGTTCGGGGTCTCACTACCAGATTGGACTCGTAGTGAGCTTCCTATTTATAGCCTCCCAAGAGCTGGGATTACAGGTGCGCACCACCATGCCCAGTCTCAATTGCCATCTCAGCGTGCCCTGAGAGCGGGGCCAGCACTGCAGGTTCAGGGATCAAACCCCCGGCCCCTGAGCCTGCTTGCAGGCATGTTAATCCGCTGAGCTATTTGGCTGGCCCAATACTTGTAATTTGTATTGATGCAAATTTGTTGTCTTTAACCCATTGGCCTCTTAGTTGTTACTCCTGGCATCATTGTTGAGTTCTATGAAAACTACATATTATAGATGTGCATATTTTATACATAATTCACCCGTGAATTCCTTACCTCTGCTTTGCCAACTGTGTCATGGTATGCAGTTCAGAACTTCCTGACCTCGCCCATCTTTCTGGTTTCTTAAACTAGACTGTATCCATTTTTGGGGCACTTCATTAGATTCTTCATCTTAGTAGGGAAGACAAGAGGATTGGTTCCTAAACTAGGGAACATGTGGCTCAATAGGCTATATTATAATCATTAGGAAGGGTAGCTTTACACGTCAATTGTTAAGACACATTAGGGAGCGATGGATGCTTCAGAGCAGTATATTGAGGTTGTATAGTTTGTCCATGTAGAAAAAGCTCCAGAAAGCTACATATCAAGCCACAGCAGCGTCCAGACACAGGAGACTTTATTTTCTGATTTTAAATGCATTTTTAGAACAGAAAAACCAAAAACATATATAATAATATAAAAGTTAGCATCAAGTTCAATGTAATAAGAAATATTAGGAAAAGAATGCAATAAGAAGTAAAATACAATCTTGGTTAAGTCAGGAAATTTGAGGGAGGTTTTCTCCTGGGCACAGACAGATGTCCCCGTAGCAGTGTACCAAGCCACTCATTTCTTAAAGGGTGTTTGGGACACAGCAAATCCAGTGCTGGATGCTACGTTCAAGAGGAAAACCAGGTTTGTGTTTGAGGTGAGAGGTCAGGCTATAAAGTCTCAACTCACATCAGTGGAGAGCTTCTGGAGGTTATTAATTATTTTATAAATACACTTTCACTTGGAAATAATTTTAGATTTATAGAGTTCTCCCATAACCTCTCATCCAGTTTGTCTCCATTAATGTTTTCTTACATTAGTATGATGCATTAGCTGAAGCTGAGAAGCCAGCCTTCATAAATTATGATTCAACTCGTCTTTATTCAAATTTCATCACATTTTCCATTAATGTCGCCCCCCTCCATTTTGGAAGCCAATCTGTGATCTCACATCATATTAGGTGTCATCATTTCTTTAGTCCTCTCTGCTCTGTGACTTTGTCATGACTGTGATAGTTCTAAGGGGAGCTGAAAGTTTGGAGCATGTCCTCAGCTTGGGTCTGCCTCACGTTTTCTCATGATTAAAATGGAGTAAAGGTCTTAGAGCTGGTTAGCTGCGCTTTCCATACAGAGGGCACAGGATATCCACACATCACCACTGCTGTTAAGTTTGGCCATATTGTTAACACATTTGCTGGTTTTCTCCATAAGAAGTGTCCCAGAATTTTCCTTTTTCCACACATCTAGGCTTTGCAGTGTGATATTTGATTGACATTTAATGTAATCCTTGTGGCTAAGTGATGTGAAGAGGGTGGAAACAAGAGGGCTAGCTATCCGTGTAACTATGGTTGTTACAATTCAAGTTGGTGGTGATGGTAGATGATGAAAATGATTGAAGGTATTCAAGCATTTCTGGGCGATGGGGAGCTTATGGTCATTTAAAGGAAATAAGGAGAATTAAAATCACAGATACCAATTCATATGCACTAGGATGGTTACAATTTTAAAAACAAATAGAAACAAGTGTTGAAGATGTGGAGAAATTAGAATCCACATTATACTGCTGGTAGTCAGTCACTTGGGAAGACTCTTGCAGTTGCGCAAAAGAGTTAAAAATATTTATCATAGGATGTAGAAATTCCCCTTCAAGCATATTCTCAATAGAAATGAAAACATATATACATACATATACAAATGTTCATAATTGCATTTTTTATAAACAAGTGGCAGAAACTGTCCAAATGTCCACTCACCAATGAATGGAAAAACAAAGTATGGCATGCATGTGCAATGGAATATTAGCCATAAAAGTGAAGTGCTGATAGAAGTTACTATATCAACGAATCCCAACACACTGTAAGAAACCAGTCTCTCTCTCTCTCTCTCCCTCACACACACACACACACAAACACACACAAATACCATTCTATTTAAATGTCCAGAATGGAGGCAAATTTAGAGAAAGTACAGTAGTTATCCCTTATCGAAGGGAGAGTATAGTCCAGGACCACTGATAAATGCTTGAAGCATGGATACATGCACGTGATATCTCAACAGTGACTATAACAGAGAGAGCCACCAAGTGACAAGTGGGCAGGTAGCTGTGTACACTGGACAAAGGGATGATTCATGTCCTGGGAAAGATAGAGTGGGATGATGTGAGATTCTGTCACATTATTCAGAAGGTGCAATTTTAAACTTACACAGTGTTCTGGAATTTTCTTTTTATTACAATTGCAGTTGCCTGCAGGTAACTGAAACCAAAGAAAGCAAAACTGTGGACAGAGGACCACAGTAGTTCAGTGTAAGGTACAGGGAGAGAGGTGATGAAGGATTGGGCTATGACATGACTTTCAGGTTGGTAAAAATGTTCAGAAATTGATTCTTGTGATGGTTGAATAACTCTACGCTGAGAACTACTTAACTCCGTGTTAAGGCAACACCGCTACTGAGACAGTAAAATGTCTTGGGCCGGGGAGATAGCTCAGCAGCACAACACGGGCCTGGCAAAAGCAAGGTCCCAAGTTTGATTGATCGCTGGTACCGCAAGAAAAAAATAAAAAAAGTCTTAATATCCTTTAGTAATCTGTAGAATACCTGGGTATTTTATATTAATTTAAGATATTAATATAAAATAAGTATTTTGGTACATTTAGCAGCCTACATGGGAGTATTTAACTTCTTCACTGCAGAGTTGGCTAAGACATACAGTCCAACTAGCTGGGGCCATCAGTTACTCTGCTGTTACTCTCCTACTCTGCACCTGCCACACCCCTCCCTGCCCAACTCCAGCACTGCTTATGGGTAGACAGGAATTCTATACTGAGGATCATTAACAGCAGTTCAAAGGGGAAAAAAATTCAAACAATTCCTCCAACTTTCAATGACCATGTGACCCTTAACATTAATATCTGCTGTTTTAAAATCCAGAAAAAAGAAGTACTTTACGAATTACATATCATAGGGTTCTGCTTGGTCTTTTCAAATGTCAAAAAGTTTGTGATAGGGATGGGGGATGGAAAGGAGGGGAGGAAAAGTCAAAAAAGAATCAAGATGAGATATGTATCAATTCCCCTCTATGAATGAATTTAATATGTACTGCAAACATACTAAAAAAAGGAATAAAAAATCATTTTCTATCAAAGGATAATGAACATAGTAGAATTTACAATAGTGAGTTCTTAAGAGTTGACCCTGAGTTCCATTTGGGAGGCCTAAGACATGACCATACCATTATTACATTCCAAGTTTGTGTCTGAATACATGTTTGAAAGAATAAAGATATATATCATTCACAGTTTTATTAACAAAATAGAAACACAAACATAAGGCAAGATGCTTTGTTGTTACATCTTACCTGACCACACAATGTAGTAGCAAGTTTTTTTAAGAGGGCTTAGGTGAGAACTGTCAATATATCAGTTCCATCAAAAACTGCAGATTGAAATATCTAACATTCGATACATGGAATTTAAAAAATAACAAATATCAGAAATCAAAGAGTTCTCTCTCTCAAATGTGGGGGGATTCCTGGTTTCTTGTAATTAGAAAAAAAAAAAAAAATCAAGATTCTTGTTGCACTCCAAAAGGGAAAAACTGAGGAAATTCATGGATAATTTTCACTGCTTCATTGTAAAGTCCCAGATCTGAAAGAAACATTTACACAAATATTTAAGCTGTAACATCAATCATCTCTCTTACTTTTCTCTCTCTCTGTTAAAGGTCAATCTATTTTCACAATCCAATTCCTAAAACTGAGATATGGATCATCGTATTTATTCACTGTGATCCTCTCTCCCCCTAGTTTTTACTGCTCACAAATATTAGCCTTCTAAGCAGGCCCAAACATCCTCCTACATTTTTTTGAGACTAGATGGCAGGATTGAGACTCAAAACCAAATCAATATCGAATAAAAAAACCATGCCCCCTAATTGCCTGTAAATACAGAAATGCTTTCTTTACCAAAAGGACTGGTATCTTCTCTAAACTGGACATAGGATGCACATTGGATGGTTGCCTTGGCCGTTACTCTTCCAACTACTTCCACAATTCCAGAGAGTTGTTCATCAAGCTAACACAGTAAGCAAAATGTCAGTTGGGCTAAATCACAATTTCAGTTGATAATTAATTTGGAAAACATACAGTTTACTCATCTTTCAAGCAATTACACAGCTTGCTAATTGTTCATTATAACAAAGTACCTTCAAAATTTACCAATGTAAAAACTGAACTGCAATAGGTTAAAAATAAGAACTTAACTTCCAGCACACTACACCTCCTGTTATCTTTAGTAGTAGCTTCAGGTCCAGATATAATGAAATATTTAAACTGACGACAACTTTTCTTCAAGATATTGAGACTGTCCAGAACTTCTATAAGCAGTAGTTTGTTGAGACTCACTGAAGCGCACCCTTTATAATCTACATTTTTCAGACTGTGTCCTGTATATACATTAACCAAAGAGTGTCTGGATCTGTTTTTGTAAAAGACCGAGAAAATGTTTTTAAGCACAGTAAGCATAAATGTAGAAATAGCCTGGTGTGGTGATGCACACCTGGAATCCTGCAACTAGGGAGCTACATAGTGAACTCAAGGTCAGCCTGAACTACACAGCAAGATCTTGTCTAAAAAAAAAAAAAAAGAAATAGATAACTAAAAAGATATGAAAACAAAAACAGAAAATAAAGCCTGGGATAATAATGCATGCCTGTCTGCCTGTCATTCCAGCTACTGGAGAGGCTGAAGAAGCGGATCACTTAAACCCAGGAGTTTAAGACTAGCCTCGGCAACACACAGCAACAGTGACATTCAGTCACATGCACACGCAAAAGAAAACAAGAAAAAAGAAATTTAAACAAGTTTTCTTCACATATTTTATGGTCTTTCCTGAGAATTGTGTTATTCAATCAACACTTTTGTGAAATATTTAAAAATCACGGGAATGAAAACACCTTTAATCCTGGTACTCAGAGGCTGAGGCAGAAGGATCATGGTCTGAGGCCAGCCTAGGATACGTAGTGAGTTTAAGGCCACGCTGATCTGCACAAAATCATCAAAAAATATTGAAATATATAAATAAAATTTTTAAAAAACCCACAGAAAAACAAAACCAACACCAAAAAATCATAGAGTCCAAAGAATCATTATAGAGCTAGGAAAATGTTACAAGTTTGTTCTTTATACGTCCATTTCAAAAATCAGAAATAACACAGTAAAGATGAAGAATGAAGCTTAATACACATACAGTTAATTAAACATACCGGCTCCATCAATTCAATGGTTCCATTTTTTCCTTCTCCGTCTGAAAGGATAAACATTTTTCCAGTGGGATGAATCTAAGGAAGAAATATACAGTTTAAAACGCTTCACATAAAACCTTTTAAAGATTTCATTAAAAGGAAATTTGATCAAAGATGAGCAGATTGTCCCTAACTCACTTGAGAATCAAGCAATTATTTTTTTTAAAGTTTAAAATAACAGTCATATGTTACAGATCTGGAATGAGACATCTAATTAATCGTGAATTTCAGTTAAACAATGAATACATTTTTAGCATAAGGAGGTCTTGTGTTTTAACTTGCAAAATCTAGCAACCCTGTTAAAAACAAATTAAGGGACGTATGTACTATCTAAAAACGGAATCTGCGGTCACTCAAGACTTATTATAATACATATCCCACGGATAATTAAAGGAAAACTTGTTGCCAAAGATCTGGGTTCCACTCCGGGAAAGCTGTAAAGACTGCAGTCAGATCTGCCTCGATCGCTGGCTTTGCCACCTGCTGTGGCCCTGAGCATTTCTGTAAAACACACAGCACTCCCAGCTCATTTTCCCTACTTGTGAAGTCAGAATTAACACTCACTTCACTTACAGAATGTGTGGCTGAAATGAGCTACTAAATAAACCTTTATAAATGTTCTTTTCTTCGGCTTTCTCGGGTTACTGATTCTGAGACTAGGCGCCTTTTCCGCACACTAAGGATGAGGGGTCTGCATTTTAACACTGGGGTAAGATAATAGCCCAGTAAGGGGTCACGGTGAGACGAGAATGTAACGCTTTATGGAAAACTGGCTTCAAAGAGAAAACGAAGCCAGTTTTCCATAAAGGGGGAGAGAGACAAGGGTAGAAACGGCCTAGACGTCATCAGTTGAGGATGGCTAAGCAAACAAAACAGCGGGAAGAGGGACGCTGGAATTCAGAACTGCACATTCGAAAAGTTCGTTTCAGCGCCACGAAAGGAGCCAGAGTGGACGTGTAAAGACTAAAAAGTACGGAAAGTCTGTGCAAAATAACGATGTGGTTCGTCAGTCCCTCACTCTCCCCTAGCCAGGTCGGGGGTCCCGGCAGTCAGTGGGTCCCTCCCACCAGCTACACATCGGGGACGCCAGCCCGCGAACCCGCGCACCTTTTCTAGCTTCCCTACGAAGCAGACTGGCCGGTCAATGAACTGAGATATCATGCTAGCGTTGATGCGCGACTTGGGCAAATCCACCACGTCCACCATGATTAGTCCACTTCTGACTAGCGGGAAACAGAAGGCGGATGACTGAAAAAGAAAGTCCCGCGGGCGCCTATGGGACAGATTTTTATTGGACCAATGAGCGAAAAATTAGAGCACCAGCTCCACCAATCAAATAAGGAGAAATCTCGACCGACGTCACGTACTTGAGGACGGCGCTAGAGTAGGGGGCGGAGTTACGTACGGAAGTGTGGATCAGCTGTTAGTGACGCGAGGTTTTTCCGGAAGTGGCTCCAGTCATTGGCTAACTGAGCAATGGGGGCGGGACTTGGGGGCGGGGCCTGCGGCTACCAGCCTGGAACCTCTAGCCTCGGGGCTGCGACTTCACCCCCGGAAGTGGGGTGACGGGCTGCGGTGCGGGTGCGGCGACAGACTGTGGCCCGAGCCTCAGGTACCTCTTCTCGCGGGACACCGCGTAGTCTGCTTCCCTTTTTCCCCTCGAACTGAGTCCGCTGAGCGAGGAGGAAGTTGGCAGCCGGCTCTCGCCGCGGCGTTGCCGGCGCAGTTCAGGCTTTGACAGTTACCCCGCCTACCCTCTTCCGGGTCCTGCGGGGCTGCGCGGGATGCTTGTTCAGGGCAACCTGGACTCGGGCTTTTGACATCCAGCTTCTTCAAGACGGGAAGCGGGATCGTTGACGATCTTCACTTTCTTCAGTTCCTATCTCTGCGGCGGAGGGTCGATTTTCTCCCCTCCCCCCAGCTGCCTCTCTTTGTAGTTCAGTTTCCCACCTGTGAGAAGGCTGGCCAGGCGACCTACGGCCCTTTCGAGTCGGTTCTCTCGCTCCCTTGTGTTAGCAGTGGATAGGGATCGGTAGGTCTAGCAGAGAGGCGAGAAGGCTCAGGGTAGAGGCGACAGGCTTAACCAGCTGTTAGCACCGAGCAAGCGCGCTTCTTGCGGTCACTTTCTCCATCCACACCCAAAGAGTTAATATGTAAGGTTCCCAACTGATTCCCATTCCTGGCCATTCCCCGCGCCCCCGCAGTCTTTCCGCCACTATTCGCCCACCCCTCACTCAGAAGGGGCGAAGGGGAGGTCTGAAATACGATCTGTGCAGAGATCCTGGAGCATTGTCGAATCTGTCAGTGGCTCCCAGGGCCCTGCGAAGTTAATAGCTGTTGATTTTCGGAATGTCCCTTGCTGGGACTGGGGCCACCTGCCTTGTCTGGGAGATTTCAGAATAAGTGTGCATAAAAATGTCTTCAAACGGTGCTGTAGAAATTGAAAACAATTTAATATGTCTGAATTCTGCTGTCACTCAAACAAATTTAGAGGATTTCCTTAAATAGGGTACATTAAAAAGAAAACGATGGTTGTTCGGGATGCAAGTCAGTGAAGTCTTATATTACTGGTTTGTAAAGGATGCAGGCGTGCATTAAATAAGATACGGTATGCATGGTCTGTAATACAAGAGTAATTTTTTTTTTTTTAAAGAAGAAGAGTAGCCCTTAAAGTACCAGATGCTAGTATCATTGCTTTATTACTATTAAACGAGCACTTTTGAGCAGACTTTTTAAAGTGGAAAGTGAGAAGATAATTTTAAAACAACCCTCTTGGATTTTTTGAATCACTTACAATTTATTATGAAGTGGATAATGGCCAGAGTATATATACCTGATATGTATCATTTGGGGAAGAAATACTTAATGGTTCATGCGAGCATCTTATTGAGCTTAGGAATTGGAATTTCTCCAGTTACTTTCATGTGCCAATTAGGCCCTCCTTGCCCCAATCTGTTCTTGAACAACACTATCTTGCAGTCTGTATTAAACTTGTAAGATTTCTAAATAGTTGTATCAATCATATAGGTATTTCTAAATAACATACTGTTTTGCCAGTCTCTGACCTTTATATAAGTGGAGTCATTATATAAGTGGAGTCATTCATATCTTCTAACTTGTTTCTTTTGCCTGAGATTAATATATGTTGATTATGAAACTTATTCTTTTTTCTATGATATTTCACTGTATTATTGACTAACATTTTGATTGCAGCTCTTTTCCACTACATACAGAGCTCCTGTGAATATTTTTGTTTTTATAACTTGATATGTTTGTGCAAATGCATATCAGAATTGCTAGAACATAAAATGTAAATCTTCAGCTTTGTTAGTAAAAGCAAATGATTTCCTCAAATGCTGGGATCAGTTTATCCTTTTATCAAGAGGGTAGCACAGTTTTTAGTTTAGACACATTCTTGGCAGGTCTGGAAGTTTTCCCCCATGAACTCGTGGATATGAAATGGTTTCTTGTGATCTGACTTTATGTTTCTTGATTACTAATAAGACTGAACACATTTTCAGATATTTATTGGCCACTTATCTCTTTTCATTCTAATTTTTATTTTGTTACTTATTTTTGAGAGCTTTTAATATTAGTATGGGCATTAATGCAATACATTGTTTTCTCATTCTTTGGCCAGTCTTTCCCCACACCCCTCCCTTTTTTGGAAAGAACTTTTTGTTTGTTTGTTTGTTTGTTTGTTTGGTACTGGGGATTGAACTCAGGATCTTGTAGTTGCCAGGCAGGTGCTTATGTCGCTGAGCTGTCTCCCCAGCTCCCTTTAGGCTTAATAAAGTGGGAAATTAAATTTAAAACATTTTTTAAGAATCCTTTCTTCTATTAAGCTCTTAAAATTTTAAATATTTAAAGTATTTTTATAGTTTTGGTTTTCATATTTAATATTCTATCATCTAGAATTGAACATTATGTGTGTTGTCAGATAGATGTCCAGGTTATTTTTGTTACTTAAATTGTCCTGCCATTGTTTATTGGCTATATCAGTGGTAGGGCACATAGCTGCAAGTTAGATTTCCTATCTTTCGCCCATTTACATTGATTGTGATTACTGGTTTATCTGGATTTATTTTCTGTATGTAGAGTTGTTTTGTCCTTTACTTTTTGCTCTTTTTCCTATTTTGTATTGACTTTTTGTTATTTTTTTCTTTACTTCTATTTTTGCCATTAATCTTAAATTTACAGATATTTGTGGACTCCACTCCTGAACTAATGATATTTTTTAGTTGGCCTATTTTTCTGTCCTTACCTTGCTATCCATTTTCTTTAATATTGTAGGTAGCCTCACAAGAACTTTTTTACATGTTTATCATTATTATATTCTAAATACTTGTCAGTTTCCAGTATAGTTCTTCTTTGATTCATGAATTGTTTTGGTTTATAAATGTATAGGTTTTATATTTGTTTTGTTTTGTTAACACCTAATATAATTGTGTCCTGGAGGATGTGGTCTATCTGATACTAATTCTCTGAAAGGCTATGAAACTTCTTTAAGGTTTATTAAAGACGTGGGCAATTTCTGAGACTGGGAGTAGTGGTGTGCAACTGTAATCCCAGTGTCTAGGAGGCTTAGAATAGGAGAATCACAACAAGTCAGATCTGTGTAGTGAGAACCTGTAGACCCTGTACTAAAAAAAAAAAAAAAAAAAAAAAAATCTCTGATATCTTAGGGTTGGCCAGCTACCTCAGCAGACTAAAGCTCCTGCTTGGGCAGAGTGCAGTGGTGGGGGTTCCATCCCCTGCGTGCCCTGCCAGCCCCGCCCAGGGTGCGCTGAGATGCAGATTGAGACTGGGCCTGGTAGTGCGTGCCTGTAATCCCAGTGCTTGGGAGGCTGAAAACAGGAGGATCACTATGAGTCCAATCTATGTAGTGAGACCCTGTAAACGCTGTAGACTCTGTCCTAAATACAGGAAAAAGAAAAAAGAAAAAAGATAGTATTACTATTTTGTGAGGTCTCTAACTGCTGGATCTAACAGTCTTTGTGCTGTTCAAGTCTGTTGTCTAATTAGATTTTAATGTGTCCCACATGTCTTTCTTATTTAGTTCGGTGGTATGTTGTGTTTTGTGAATCTGAAAATTCTAGTCTTTATCAAATTCGCACTGAAACATATCCAATCATTATCCCTTTGAATATTATCTCTTCTCCATTCTAACACCTTCTGGAACTCTGATTGATGTAAGAACCTTACTCATTCTTTACCTCTGTTTACTCATTCTTCGTGCAAATGTCCTGTTTGCTGTAATTTCAATGCTTTTTATTTCTAGAAGTTGTTTTTTTTTTTAAATAATCTTATTAGTTCTTATTCATAGTCTCTTACTTGGGCTGAGGAGATAGCTCAATGGCTTAAGTGCCTGCCTAGCAAATGCAAGGTCCTGAGTTCAATTCCTGGTGCCAAACAAACAAACAAAAACAACAAAAAAGAAAAGAAAAAGTCTCATTCTTTCATTCCTTCATGTATTATGGGATACAAGTGTTTCTTTATATTTTATTCTTGATGCCAACATTTTTTCCAGATCAGATATGCTAAAGCTTTTATTATAATAATTCTTTGTTGCTATATTTTTCATTTCATTTGTATAATATTTTGAAATTATGACATCTCATTCCTTGAGACTTTTTTTCTTTGAGGCTTGCTTTTAGAATATGTTTCTTTAGCAAAGATTCATGTTTCTTTCTTTCCAACATGTTTGGGCCCCAGGCTTTGCACCTGTTCCTTGTAGGGATCATTAAAAACCCAGGCTTTTTAGCTATTAGAAATCAGCAGTGGCTAGAGGGAAAAATGTTACTTTTGGTCCTTCCATATACCCCAGTGGCTTTGTAGGTCCTGAGTTTTAGATTTGTAGATCCTGGATTGTGGATTTTTGGGTTCTGTGGAATTTCTCTTTCTCATATTGGGTTGGCCATTAATAAAAGTTCAAAATATTTAATCCAGCATTTTTAGATAGACTGTACTAGCAGAGTTCTCTGAACATCTGATTTGTACTCCTGTCAGAGATGGATGGTCTGGTATTATTTTGGCTATTGTGTTTAAGGTGTGTACCCTTGACCTTTTGCACACAGGTGGGCTTTCAGAGAGCCAGTGTGAACATTCTATTAGCAGCTGAGTCTAAGAAATCCAGTTGTACATTGATCAAGTCCTCATTGAAGGTACAGTAGTATTGGAGAGTGGTAAGCATTAAGAGTAAAGAGAAATCAAGAACATAGAATACCTTTCTTATACCCCGAGCCAGGGAATTTAGACGAAATAGTGATGTTGGAGGAAAGTTTTGGTATAAGTATGAAATGATCAGTTTGATATTTTAAGAGACAGTGGCTTGGAATATCCTAATTAAGGTTCTTTGGATACAGGTAACATTGCCACTTTTAAACTAGTTTAAATTTTTATTAAGTTTTTAAAAATATGTATTACATAGACTGTACCATTCAATCTTTTTTTTTTTTCAGTACTGGGGATTGAATTTGGGACCTTATGCTTGCCAGGCAGGAGCTTATGCCACTGAGCTATATCCCCAGCTCCATTTAATCATTTTTAAGTGTATGATTCAGTGCACTATAGATACATACATAGATATCTTCACTTTACTGTTCAACTATT